GGTTGACTCATTTGATTTTAGTCACTGAAATCATACTTCTTAATTTAGAACTAATTTTTTGAGCAATTCATATTGGATAACTAAGATTCGTTGATCTCATTTTAATTTTGTTTACAGAAAAGCTACATTTACGTGGTATGGTGACTTAGTTTTAGAGATATTTTAAGTAATATCGATTAATTATTTGTGTTGGAAGGTAAACTCTAAGGTGTTTTACATTCTACTCCTGATTAATCTTCTAATCTTAGTTGTATACTTAATTACACCGTCAATTTTACGTGGTTGATAAGATATAATTACTTTTTAAAATATATGGAATAATTCTGTAATTGCTATAAGAATTCTATTTACACACTACAGGAATAGAGAAGAATAATCATACAAATGGCAAGAAAACGTGATGTATCCAAATTTTACTGACTATTTAATTTGAAGGCTAAATTTAATTTATTTAACAGCTAAAGGAATTGTAAGAAATATGATATCTATAAAACAGGAAATGATCGTGCGGCTTTCGAAATCGATGATTGGTAATTCTGAACAGCTGTGCTGAAGGCAGCTAGATTTTTGTTTAAAACTCTCTAGTAAGAAACAGTATTTACCATCTGCTTGATGACTGCACTTAAAGGAAAACGTTTGAAGTAGATTACATGTAGAAGTGAAATACGGAAACCCTAAAACAGAGAAGGAAATTCTGGTTGGAAGACGTCAGAAATTTACCCACAGAAGACATTAAAGGATGGACCTAAAATATGGCGAATCAGGTTGCACATAATTGAATTTGGACTCAGTAGTATTTAGGCTAAACGACTGTGTAAGAAACAGAGGATCCTGGTTTCGACCTCTGTGACTCGGTCTTGGATTCCAAACAAGGATGAGACAGACGTCCAGTGCTTCTTGGTTTTTAACGGTTTCTCAGCTTAGACACTTTCATGATATCAGCCGAACTTAACACAAGTTTTCGTCTTAAATTCATATGAGAAGTTTCTGCTTCACATAATTTATGTAACATAGAGAGATAACTTTCCTACTGTTTCCATCTGGATTCACTAATTTCTAACTCAATTATCTCATAATCCAATTGTATGCGTCTGACTGAATTATAAGCTATTCGTTGTTTACAATTTCCTACTTGCGGGAAATACTAACTCCGCCTGTAGACCCTTCGAGGCTACTGCCGGTCCCAAGCCCGGATAAAGGAGGAGGGTTGGGATCGGGGTTGGCGACCCCATCCCGGGAAAAACTAACTTGCTAAAAATACTCTAACAAGAAAAAAATAGTTCAAACCATATAAAATCTGCTCTGGGATTTAGAAGAGTTATAACGCCTCATGATGAAAGTTCTACGTTGCTATTGATTGATTTATTGACCTTCATCGGCATGTTCTGAATCGACAAGTGAAACTCTAGTCTCATGAAGAAAGCCGAGTTCCTTCGGAAGTAATTGGGCCAAGGCCCGTTTCGACAACCAGAACCCATCCAAAGTGTCGGCATCCCGGCAGTAACATCCACCCTCATACCCATAAAAACACACGAGACCAAATTGGTCACAATCAAATCCTTTCTACACCTAATAACTCTCTTATCTCCACGATCAACCCTTCTTCCGATCTTTTGCCACCTCGCGCCGCTAAAGTAAACGGTTTGAGCTCATGAAACGTTATTCCTGGTCCCTTGGAATCCCGTACAAAATTACATATTGGAGCTTTTAATGTTCGAACCTTGTGCCAAATAGGGAAACAGGCTTCATTAGATGGAACTCTGAGATCCCAGGCGATTGATGTATGTCGCATCTCCAAAACGCGCATACAAGCTCAAGTAAAATCATCAATTTTATTTCACCTAGTGCAGATGTAGAAAAACCCGCTTTACGCTTGGTGTTTTTGGAAGCCCTGATGCTGCTTCCCGTGGCCTCGCTAGCGTAGGTATAGTATTGAGCACTAGGGTAGAACAAGTTCTCCTAGACTGGATCCAGGTAGACAGTCACTTATGCGTTATCCGGCTAAGAGTGACGGTACAGACTCGTAAAGATAGGGAAACTCGCCTATGCCTCTTCATCATATCTGCATACGCTCCCACTCACTGCGGTTCAGACAACGTCAAAGATGAGTTTTACAGAAACCTCTCTAAACTTCTCTGAAATGTTAAGCGCTCTGATTTAGTAATAGTGGCTGGTGACTTTAAAGCTCAAGTAGGTAGACTAGGTGAACAGAAAAGACACCTAGGTGGATCTTATGGTGTCGCGGCTAATAGAACAGATAATGGCAACTGCCGCTCATTCGGGAGCACTTTTTCAGAATCAGGCCATGTTCTAGTGCGAGCTCGTATTTGTTTGCGTCTTACTAAACATAAGAAAAATATCGCAGAAAAACCTCTGAGCGCTCTACTTAATGATAACAAAGCTAAGAATATTTCTCACGAGCAACTAGGAAAACAGTTGGGCAGCCATGTAAGTAAGTGATGCCTACTCCGAGGCAAATTGAAATGACATCAAAAGAGCTGTGGAAACAGCAGTGATATATGCTAGTAATGTTAAATATAAGGTGAGGGAGAAGCAGCGGATCTCAGTAGCATCTACCCAACTGATGGATGCTCTAAAACTCATCCCATCTGGCTCTGAGTGCGATGACGAGCGGAGTCAGCTTAAGCTCAGGCTGATAAGTAGCCTGCGCAATGATCGCGAACAGTGGCGGGTAGACGACAGTCGACAACTATGAAGAATTATCAAAGAAACCAGTATTAGGAATCCGAATGTAAGAAAGACTATTTCGGGAAAAGATGGGCATATTATTCATCCTCAATCCAGGAGATTGGATGGATGGACAGAACACTTTAGGGATCAGTTCAACTGGCCTTCAACCACACTTCGGTTGCCCACGATCTCCAGTCAACCTGAATGGCAAATCAATATAAGTCCTCCGAGTCTTTAGAAAGTGGAGGACGCTATGGGAAATCTGAAGCGAGGGAGAGCAGCAGGTCCTGATAGGCTTACCCTTGAGATTTTTAAGGATGGTGGTCCAGTTTCGGCAGTGAGATTGACTGAGATTTTAAGCAGAACTCGGGAAATGGACGTAGTCTCATCCAACTGGTCTCAATCCCTGATTGTCACAATTTAAAAGAAACGACAGAAGTCTTCTTGTGACAATTACAGAGGAATCAGTCTAACTAATATAGTATCTAAAATATTGGCCTCATCCGTACTCGGATGTCTAACTAAAGCTCATGAAGAGCAGACTAGAGAAAATCAGGTTGGTTTCAGACCTGGAGGTCGATGTATGGACCAGATATTCACACCACGTCAGGTGCTAGAACATAAACACACGTTCAGAGCCCCATAATAGTAGTATTTCTCGACCTTAAGGCGGCATTAGACTCAGTGGATCGTGAGGTTCTATGGCTATGCCTGTCCTTAAAAAGGGTACCAAAAAAAGTACATCAACCTTATACAGGCTCTCTACCTGAAAAAAACAGGTCGAGTGACAGTTTATGGATAACTTTCATCGGACTTCTTTGCTTCAAGTGGTGTCCGTCAGGGATGTCCACTCTCTTCATCCATGTTCAATTTTGTCATAGACATGCTGCCAGATACATCATTATATTCGTCTGAATTTTCAGGAGTAGGACTTTTACCAAGAGATTCACTGGTTCACTTAGAATATGCCGATGATATAGTCCTATTTGGTGAAGACGCTGACAAAATGCAATGCCACCCGACTACCCTAAGCAACAATGCAAGCATGTTCGGGATGCGATTCTCCCTGTCGAAATGCAAAATGTTGCTTCAAGATTTGCTTACATAGGCACCTGAACTGGTGATAGGGAGTAAACCAGTTGAGAATGTTTTCTCATCGGTGCTGATGGCCTGGTGACTGACGAAATCTCCGCACGAATACAGAAGGATTGATTGGTTTTTTCCAACCTGCGTCACTTATGGTGTATGCGAGATATCCGTCTGAAAACCAAAAGACGAGTCTAATGAGCAACAGTTCTCCGCATCCTACTATATGGCTGTGAAACATGGCCAGTCAGAGTAGAAGATATTCGTATGTTACCGGTTTTCGATCATAGGTGTCTCTGATGCATTGCTTGAGTATCGTGGGACGGCCAAGTAAGCAATGCTGTTGTTAGGAAACGAGTACGAGGTAAGGATGGCAGATCAGTAGATGAAATATTGAAACTTCATCAGTTGAGGTGGCTGGAACATGTGTTACAAATGCCCAACCACCGATAGTCTCGTCGAGCTATGTTTCGTGATGTAGGAGGAGGTTGGAGGGAAATATATTCTTAGCTTTGTTATCATTAAGTAGAGCGCTCAGAGGTTTTTCTGCGATATTTTTCTTATGTTTAGTAAGACGCAAACAAATACGAGCTCGCACTAGAACATGGCCTGATTCTGAAAAAGTGCTCCCGAATGAGCGGCAGTTGCCATTATCTGTTCTATTAGCCGCGACACCATAAGATCCACCTAGGTGTCTTTTCTGTTCACCTAGTCTACCTACTTGAGCTTTAAAGTCACCAGCCACTATTACTAAATCAGAGCGCTTAACATTTCGGAGAAGTTTAGAGAGGTTTCTGTAAAACTCATCTTTGATGTTTCCTGAACCGCGAGATGTTAGTAATCGATGGTTAGAGACCATGAATGACATTGGCTCAAAACCATTTGCAATGGCGCAGGTGCATTCATTCTTTGGGTTCGCTCAGATATTTAACTTTTTAATTCCTCATCACTTCACCTTTTTCTTTTGAAATTTACTTCATTGAATTATACTTCTCGAATATTTTCCTTGGAACCTAATATTTTCTATTACCGCCCATACTTCTACTACATATAGCACTATGGTATTGGAATTGACAATTACATCTTTGTGTTGATGTGGTATGGCAACTTGAACTAATGTACGTACGTACGTACGTACGAAGTCCTACGTTACTGTTGATTGGCTGATTGCGAGATATACCATTGATAAGTACGCGCATTTTTTCGCAAAATTACTTGGTAAATTAGTCCAACTGTTTCATTAATGATTGCATTAAACTGTCGTTCATATTTGTATTGCTCTGGAACTTTTGTGGACACTGATCACCTGAATTTAAATTATTGCTGAATGATTCTTCTTTTGAAAAACAATCATTTAGTGTGAAATTACCATGTTGGAGACAATCGATAAGAAATTCTTGACCTACATTTTGTGAATGCTGACACTTGTTGGAGAGTTATACTTAAATTACTGAGTGTGCTGTTCTTTCCAGCAGGAATCATATTCTCATCAGCCAGTATCATAATCAAAGATGTTACTCCTGGATCTGTAAATGACCTGCACACTTCAGAACCAAGGATTAGGCAACATGATTTAGATTACTGTTGAGTGATCAATTAGTATCAATGGCAAGATGTTTCTTCTTAGTTTAAATCATAATATGAAACTACAGTTTCTTGGAAAATCCGGTTTTTCTACATTTTTTTTATCAGTGCATTACCTCAATAAATTATTGCAAAAATATGTTGGCTTAATGAGTATGCCAAAGTGAAATTTACCTTATTTTAATTCATCATAAATCTTTAACAATCAAGTTATTGATCTAATTGTCTAAGTAGAAATACTTAGTGATACAACCTGGAATTTAACAGAACCAGTTACATCAGCGTTTAGATAAGATGCTATTGATATCTAGTCTCTTTAAAAAGAATATATAAATGAAAAGTTTTTATCGCGAAATTCTATCAATTAAGAATTGTGTCAAACACAGAACTACTATTACGGTTTAATATGAGACACTATAAACTTCACTCATTAACCTAAAAATCGGAGAATTCAGAACCTACATATCACTCGATAATCATTGCAGATTCTAACCAGTTAATCAATCCTCTATACAGCACCTGCATCCAAGAGATACTACCGTCTCACTTGTGACATGATTAACTTTAAATATGACCATCCTTTCAAACAATATACGATTTGTATTCCAATTACTTGATGTGATATTTTCCTTACATCATGATGAGTAAATATTAGGCGTCATCGCATGAATTATAGCTGTCATCCATTTTTCGAAAATTCCTACTTCCATTGGATCATATGATAATATGTTTCGACAGAGAAATTAAAAAAAGTTACATAAATAAATCAGTCATATTAGCCATTATTTGCTTTCGTCTCGATTTTAAAAATCACATGCACAAAAATAGTTTTACATTAATTTATTAAACATTTTCATAAATATCGTAGTTATATCACACGACTTTCGCTTATTTTTTAAAATAACTACTAGTAGTTTGGAAATAACTTACTTGGTAAATAAATATTCGATAACTTACAGTTTCAAACTTGTTAACTTTTGAGATTTCCAGAATCTCTATGGTCCTTTTGTCTTTTCCTAGATCTGCCCGGTTTTATGTTTGCTTCAGTAAGGCACATCATAAATTTTGTTTTAAGCCTGGAAAAACAATATCAACTACTGGTTCGGACACAACGATAATTGTTTGAGAAATGATTAAAACAAGAAATGTATGACATCAGTGCAGCTATCAAAAAGTCTATATCCCTTAAAATGATCAATTTTGAGGTTGGGTTTTTGTGAATACTACTCACTACGAAGCTTATAAGTAATTTGCAGTGGATGTGCTGAGGAGTGCGCCCTGAAGTTGCTACTGGAGTAAAGTGTCAAGTCCGGATGTATGGCGTAACTAAGATTTTTTGAAGAATAGAAGATATATGAAATAAAACAACCAAGAATCTGCTTCTTCGGCAAATGGGAGTCTTCTACTATTTCCCCCTTATTCAATCTGGTCTCAGCTTCTTCTGTCTTTACTAAGTAATAAAAACAAATGTGTCTACTCAACTCAGTTTAAACCTTCGTGACTAATGCTAATGAAATCAGGGTTCGAAGTAGATTTGATCAAAAATCATATGTCGTTTTTTAACTTATCACACATCTCTTTATAAACGTTTAAATTATATTTATTAGCAGCCTTTCAGACATTCTTATTAAATTGTTTAGTAAACCATGAGTATAAGAATTTATCTCAATTCGCTACATATCTAAATCATAGTGATTGGTTTCCATACAGACATCTGTTGACATTTCTACATCGGCGAATAACACTGAACCCACTGAAGAAGTTACTGAAGGAACTAAAGGCCAATAAACTTAAACAATATTCACCCAGTCCACAAATCAGAACACCAGAACCACCAATGTCCTACAGATGTAATTCTAAAACGTAAACGCAAATACCGCCGATGACAGAGTCCCAAGTGAAACTATAGTTAACAGAAGACAATTCGGTTTTAAACTTTATCTGTTTCTAAACAAAAGAAAACGATTAATTTAGTACAATAAATAAGGAAATTACAATTATCAAGCAAGATGAGCAAACGTACCGGACAGTATAGCGTGTCTTTAGGAAATGAATAAAAAACATGTGTCACAGCAATATAAATAAATAGCAACATCCTTCAATTGATAGACCATTCACATCAAAGAAAGTTTACAGACAGGTCAGACCATATATAGCATGGTGAGCGCTTAACCAATCTGATTGGTTAGTTGTTGCCATAACTACAATTACTTATGCAGATAACTAACACTCCCCCCGAAGCGGTCACCACGTCCAGACCTCGTTATCGCGGCGTTCAAGTAGTCAGCTTCCTCTAGTAGGCATAGGT